CTATACTTGTATAACTTCCTTTTCTCAAGAGTATTTTACATTTTATACCATTGGCTAAATTAATGACACTATCAATAGAACTACCTTATGCCCCAGAGGAATAATTTATAATGTTCTCTATCATAAAGTGATAATGATGTTCTTGCACTCCTTGTTATTGGGTCATCATTTCGCCACCCCCCCATCATTTCTCCCCTGCCATACGCACAAGAAACCATTCATCCAGTTACTGTCTCTACAGATTTACCTGTCCTGGATTTCATATACATCGAAAAAACATTTAAAAAAAAAACCTAACGATAATAACAATGTAAAAACAGATAGAAACCTCAATCAAAAAGAAAGCAGAAAATATTAAAAACTAGAATGGATCAAAGGGAGATCACATGATATAGTGTTCAATTTAGCCTAAATGTATCTGCAATAAAACACTGTCCAATGCATTTGCATCATAACAAGACTATTCACATCATGGCCTGTAGTCAGAGGGGATTCACCAGAGCTGTAATTCATCCATGAACTTATTAAAGCCTCCTTGTGTTAGAAGTGCCAGATAGAGCAATAAGACAAGAGAAATAAAGGGCTATCCATTAAATAATGATTAGTAAAATTATCCAATTACAAATTATATCATCCTATAAAACAAAAGCCCAGAGTTCACAAGAAAACATCTAGAGCTAACAGAAGAATTTAGCAAAGTTATAGGGTAAAAGGTCAACAAAAATCAGCTGGATCTCTATGTATCAGCAATTAGAAAGTTGAAATGGGAATTAGAATTATGCAAACAATTCCATTTACAATAACATCTATGAAAATGAAACAGCAATAAATATAATCAGAGACTTGAAGGGCTTATATAAGGCAAACTATAAACACTGCTAAAGGGAAATTAAGACTTAAATGGAAAAATGTTCATTGTTCATAGATTGGAAGACAATATTATTAAGATGTCAATACTATCAAAATCTACAGATTCAATGCAATTCCAATAAAAATTCCAAGTTTTCTATTTTCCAAATAGAAAAAATCTCAATTGTCTATTATTTGACAAGAAGTCCAAAAGGCTAAAACAATGTTGAAAGAGAACAAGACTAGAAGGGCTCACAATTCCTTATTTGAAACCATATTCAAGAGTTATGGTGATCAAAACAGCCTGGTATAGGTATGTAATAGATATAAAGCAAAGGATTAGAGTTGAGGGATCAGAAATAAACCACACATCTATGGGAAACTGCCACTACTTGTCTGTGAGTTGTACTGTGGTGGCTTGCTTGTTTCTATGATAGCTAGAAGCTGTGTCACTGGTATATCAAAGTCAGCAGGGTCACCCAAATTGAACAGCTTTCAGAACTTCCAGACCAAGAACAGCTTACAAAGAAGGAACAAATTGTCCACTTCTGAGGAACTAGTCACTGAAAACCTTACGAATAGTGCGGAACATTGTCAGATACTAAAACCCTCATGCATGGCACCAGACCATTATGCGAGAGAGGGCCAGAAGATGAGTCCCTCAGGTTGGAAAGCACTCAAAACACGACTGGGGAAGAGCTGGCCTCTCAGAGTAGCCAACCATGGCATGGATGAAGCAAAACGTTCAGGCCTTCCATTCGCTCACGGGGCACAGCAACACGAAGAGAACCAGCTGCAAACATCTATTCTTCATCAGAACTTGGAATGTAGGGGTATGAATATAGAAAAATTGGATATTTCGTGAAAATGCAATGGAATGCAAAAAGAACAATATCCTAGGCATTCATGTGCTGAAATAGACTGACAATGGCTATTTTGAATTGGGCGATCATATGGTTTACTGTGCTGGGAATGCCACATTTAAGAGGAATGGCATCGCATTCATCAAAAAGGATATTTCAAGATCTTGAAGAACAATGCTGTCTGTGATAGGTTAATATCTATATGCATACAAAGAAATCCATTTAACACGATTATTCAAATTTACACACCAACCTCTAAAGCTAGTGAAGAAATCAGACTTCTACCAATTTCATCAGTCTGAACTTGATCAAACATGCAATCCAGATGCATTGATAATTATTAGTGATTGGAATGCAAAAGTTGGATACAAAGAGGAAAGAAAATACCATCTTGGTGACAGAAACAAAGCTGGACATCACATGCTAAAATTTTGTAAGACTAACAATGTATTCATCACAAAAACCTTTGGTTCAACATAAACAGCAGCTACACACCTGGACTTCTCCAGATGTAATACACAGAATTCAAATTGACTACATCTGTGGGAAGACAACATGATAGAGAAGCCCAATGTCAGCAGCTAAAACCAGGCCAGAGGCCAACTGAGAAACAGACCATCAATCACTCATATGTAAGCTCAGGTTGAAGTTGAAGCTCTCCATGAGAGCCCAAACATGACATTACATATATCCCACCTGAATTTCAAAAAAATTCAAGAACAGATTTGCTGCAACGATGAGCTGTGAGATGGAGTATCATACATGAAAAAAGTATCATACCTGAAGTAATGTGTCATTTAAAAGACAGAGGGTGGGGGTGTTCACAACAGATTGTTTTCCAGCCTCATCCTATAGGTTAACTGGATTTTAGAGTTTGGCTTTTCCAGGTGTACAGCATTCTTCAGAGGCCATACCAGAAGGATCTGATTTGGAAAACCCACTAAGTGAACTGGAAGTTACCTTAAACACACCAGTTGCAGATTAAAAGAACTGAAACACTCCTTTGAATTAAAAACAAACACCCTACAGTGAGAAACAGATGGCTGCTATCTCAAAGTCATGGTTATTTAAGTCGTTGGACTTAAGTTCAAATCTCATGCATTTTAGGTTGCTCAATAATTAGCAACTTGGTTAAGACCACGTTGGTTAACACCAACCAGTATTTGCGATTTTCATTGTTTTGTGGGACTTATCTTTGTGCTGCAGACAGTTTTCCCTTAGTGTTACTGACATTTTTGCTTGGTGTCTAACCCTCATTATTCTTAGCAGTGTCCAGACACTTTTTTAATCCGAATAAATGCTCTGTGCATTAATTTTCCTATTCTCACTCTTATTTGAAATTCTATGCCATTGGCTAGATTAATATAATAATAATTAAAATAATAATTTATAAATTATCAGGAAGGGTGGTTGCCAGAGGGGGAAAAATGAGCTGATACCAAGGGCTCAAGTAAAAAAAAATGTTTTGAGAACAACGATGGTAAAAAATGTACAAATGTGTATGATACAATGGATGGATGTATGGATTGTGATAAGAGTTGTACGAGTCCCCAATAAAATGATTATATATATACAATTACCTGCCAAATGTTCCATGGAGGTACAAAGAAGTCATAATAGATACAAAGAAGAACAGTATAGATGGCACTTGAATATGCTCATCGAAATAAGCTAATCCTAAAAGAAAGAGTATTATATGGCTTACATGGATATGGGAGGGCAAGAAAAGGCAAATACGTAGAAAGCAACGTTCACTAATGGTTACCAGGAATGAAAGGGAGAAAGGCAGCTTAGCAGTGATGAAAATTTTGCAGGAAGGGCAGGTGGTAAAGCCAAGTACAACAGCTGTCCACAAGTCGTAAACCTGTAAATAGTTGAATTGACAAAAGTTCAATATACTCACTGCTGAGACTAATCATGTTATGGGGTTTATTTACTTCATTTGGAGGCTGGGGTGCTGGGAGCTATCCCAGTCAACTGAACTAATAATGAGGTCAGCGCTTTAGTTCTACCTTCATGTTCCTTTCATAGTGCCTGGGGTCTTAAAGCTAGCAAATGGTTATCCATGGCTGACTTGGTCTCCATTCACCTGGAATGGAAGAAGTCAGGTATAGGAGGATATGAATGTATGGCCAACAGCCACCATGAACAACTGACTCCTTAGCCTTGAAACGAGACAGTGTCCAGCTAAAATTACTGAACATTTTCATCAAAAATTCCTTAATAGAATCCTTATCAGAAGGAGTGAAATACACAACAGAATTTCAAATTCTCATAGACTCTAGAGCAGTGGTTCTCAACCTTCCTCATGCAACGACCCTTTAATACAGTTCCTCATGTTGCTACTGCTACAAATTGGGCGACCCCTGTGAAAAGGTCTTTCGACCACCACTGGGGTCACAGCCCACAGGTTGAGAACCACTGCTCCAGAGACATTCTGGAGCCAACAGTACTGGATAAACTGAAATTACTGTCCTGAGATAAGCTTTAGATTTTAAACAAAAAATATTCCCTGAGGTCTTTTCAAAATCAAACAATAGTATAAATTAACTGGTAAAAAAATGTCTGCCTTGAGCATTATGATACCCTTCTAAGAACTCCCTGTAGGAGATTCAATGATAAGGTCAATTCAAAAGGTGAGGTAGCCACCTTATGGGGCAGGGAGGTTTGGCTAAGGAAGGAGGAACTCCAGAAGGAAGGGTCAGCATGATTGAAGAATCAAACCAATGCCATTAAACAGTGCGTGTACAAACTGCAGAACTGGCGGAATGTCTCCCATGTATATTCTTAATGACAAAATAACATTGAGGGAAAAATGAACTGAGGGGGAAAATAGAGATACTCTCTGGATAAATTGATAGGAAATAATCTCCCAAATATATTAAATGAAAAAAAGTTTTAAAGCAATATTTTTACAGTATGCAGCTAACAAGTAGGAAACCCTGACTATAGAATAGTCAGAGAATTTAAAGTGATAGAAAGTTAGGACTTCATCTCATAAAGTCTGAACATGTGGGAAGATTTAACCTAAAACTAATAATGAATACATAAAAGAACTGGCTATGGTAGCAATTGTACATCACTGCTTGATGTGACTGAATTATGGAATGTTATGATATCTGTAAGAGTTTTCAATAAAATGTTTAAAAACAAAACAAAACTGGCTATACCACATCTATTTCACCTATTGTGGACATTATCTACCTACCAAAGAAAACCTAAAGATATGTACCTGACAAATTTAGCTTGAGTCAGCTTATAAAATTATCATATGACACATGAGAAAAATCACATTTTCCATATTTATTTTAAACATTTCATATTAGATGAAATTTAACTTAATCATTACAGAGCATTACCACAATAGTATGCAACAATAAACTTTCAAAATAAAGGGGAAAAAATACAATCTTCAACAAATTATATGCCACTTGACGATGTAAACAAAAATAAAACCCTAATGCTAAAAAGGTTATCAGAGGTAAAATACATACACAAAAACACTTAAACATGAATCTAATCCACGAGATCACATTCTTTACAAGAGTACACATATTAGTACTCCACATCTACAAAATTTCAGAATCCTGTTAAAACCAAAACCATCTCCGGTTTGAGACAACACAATTCATAAGGCAAAAATATAGGGAACATCATCCAGTTCTTTAATTTCATTTGTATTTTAAGGCAAACTTGGAACTTTTTGCTTTGTATATTAAAATAAATGGTACTTACACATGATAACTTGACAAAATTAACAATAAATTATTTCTAGGTTAAATATAAAAGACATAAGGATAACAATTTTTCTCTGCAGAGATGTAAACTGGATTTTTATTAATTCTAAATTCACACCAATAAGAAAATGTATAAACCTATTTTTTTAATTTAAAACTTATTGTTTCTCACTCTTTTCAAATAAATGTTTATCAACACTGAATCAATATACTGTAAGTGAAAATCCAATATATATCCAAGCACAGAATAATCCACCTAATTAAATCACATCTAATTAAAGTGCTGGCTACAATGGGGGTAAATAGGTTATGAAGTAGAACTGGGAATTAATTTCACATGTGACATCTTTTACTTTCGGTTATGGAGGTTATAGAGGTTATCACAAGGCGGCTGAAGTTTATAAGCAGTACTTTTATTGTAGAATTTTATTTTCCTGAAAATGAGCACTTAGGTGACAATACCAGGAATCCAACACCAAAATTTAAAATAAACACAGTATTACATGTACATATAATTTCCTCAGTGTTATCCAGAGCCTTGGTACTATAGGTAATAAACATACATAGAGAGAGTTTAAGTTTCTATAATTTTGTTTTTCTACTAGAAAATACATTGCCAAATCCAGAAAATTTTATAGTTCTATAAACATTAGGTTTGCTGAAATTCTTTTTCATGCCAATAAAAGCTAATGGATACTAAAGAATTCATACCAAAAAAATGGGTTTCTAATCACTTCTTATACTGCTGGAGATAAGGAATTAGAATCACACATCATCATCATAATTTAAGTACAAGTCTTTCCCCCCTAAACTTTACACTCAGTGAAGAGTGTTAACATTTCTATTTCTAGCCCTATAGCATTAAGCTCAGAGCACAATGTACATGCACAGTAGATACTCCACATGTGAAACTCTCAATTTTCTACACCTGATACCACTCCTTATAATTTAGTATTTCTTTATGTTTAAGTAATATCAACAATAACATATGGAACTTACATTAAATATCCTTTGAACTAGGCTGAATATCACTTTTGTCCTACATAGCCAACAAATATGAAATAGCAAAAAACTTCTAACAGATTAAGTTTTCATGTAATAATTAGAGAAAGCAATTACCTTACAATCAATTGGACTCATATCATTGCCCATTATTAACTCTTTTCCAAAATGTTTCGGGGCAACATTAAACAGCTTTCTGTTCTTTGCTTGAATATAATCAGTTCTAAAATCAATTTTAGGAATTTATAACAAAATACTGTAATCCTTTTGAACAGAAGAAACATCTGGCTTTCAATTCACAACTTGCCAATGCAGAGTTTATTATAAGGCTTCTGACACAATTGAAAAGGATGCTCTACTGTCATGTTACTAGCTGCTGGCTTGTTAGGAGCAGTGCAGTAGATTTAGTAACCCGAAAATAAATTTCCTCTTTTGCCTCTGTCCTTGCAACTTTACTTAATTTGCTCTCTGGTATACAGTTCCTCCTATTGTCCAAGGCATTTCACATTTAGTTTTCATCAAGCTATGAAGTTTAGATTTTTCAAAAATAATTATCAATATATACTTTTGATCTAATTTATCAAGTGATTATGTATCTTATACTAATTTGAAAGTAGGGGTGATAACCAAGTAAAACATTATTAAAATACTATATACAGTATAGATCTGTTCTAAAAATTTAAAGAATTTTCTAGAGTCTCAAAATCTACTTTTCATAGGGTGGGGGCTAAAAATAGAGTAACAGGATCCAGTTAATTTCACTGATATATACAGAAATAAGAGTTTGTAAATTTAAAACTAAGTATGTGTTGAAATCTACTTTAAATTGCTTATATTTAGATAAAACCTAAGCCAATCATAAGTTACAACTGGTTTCTATCCAACAGATTTATTTAAATAAATTAAAAAGTTATTGCTATATATCATTGTCATTCAAACAAGCAAGATAGAAAATATTCAGCCTGTTGATTTTATTAGTAGCTCCCGTTGAACTTTAAATCAGAAGATTAAAAATCTCTTGCAAGGTTTTATAATTTGTGCAAACATTCTTAAAGCATGACACTACTTTTATGATGAAAGGTGGTTTTACGCAGTTTTGTAACATATATTCAAATCTACACTGGCAGTTGAATGGACGAACAAGGAAAACAGCAAACTGCCCACCTACAAAGAGTTTTCAAAAAATAACATATACTAACAAATGAACCTATGTTTATAATTACAAATGGCTTAATAGTTTAGGGAATTATGGCACTTAAAAATGAAGTGTGAGTTTTTTCTTAGAGAGAAAAATAACATATACTAGCTTTGCAGAAACTACAAAGCTAATTGTAGACTGTTAAAAAAAAATCACAGGAAAGAAAATGGCAAGAGTACCAAAAATACAAGTACCAACACCATAATAAAATGTACGCTAATGTGTTTAGACTAACAAATATTTAGCAAAACATGCTCAAATAAAATAAATTAACCTACTCTTAAATAAGGTGTCACTTTGCTACCACAAACAATTTTGTTTTAAAAGATCATTTCTTAAGTTAAAGTAAAACCAAATTTAGAACCATTACTCAAGTAAACATCGAGTTCCAGTTTTCCTCAGTAATTGTAAAATACTCAGTTACCTAGAAACGTATAAAGTAATGCATAATTGCCTATAGTGCTTTATATTTAATGCATATATATATTTTTAAGAGGATATGTGATATATAGCATAGAAGAAAGAAGACCAAAATGCATCTTCAGGAACCATGAAAGGGTCAGGATTGACCACTTAGATGATTTTTGGATATTAACAGTATATTCACTAACATTTTTAATAAGCACAAATTAATCAAATCAATTAAGAATGGAAAACACTACCAAAAGAAGTCATGCATATTTTTCATACCGAACATCCAAAAAAACATTGGTTATAGCATTGCTATAGATCCTACAGTTAGCACCATTTTATATCTGAACACTGAAAAGCAAAAACTGACCTCAAAAAACTAAATTCTAAGGATATGTGTGTGGGGGGGAGGGGATCAACATGCACTGAGGCTGGTACTAAACATTTCTCAAATATTCACATCAACACTGAAGTAGTAATAAAGAAAAATCATGAAATGAATATGATTAGCTCTTTCTATAACCATGCTTATTACGGCATATATGCTTAACTAAAATTCATTCAACATTAGCCTGCCCATCTTAAAATAGGCAAAACCAGCAAATATATAACTTCTTATAATAGGCACCCAGATATCATGGTAATAAAAGCATTTGCCTTGCAAACTTATTGCCATGTATCCCCAGGCGAAACCCATTTAGTAGGAAGAAAATCCAGATGACTTTAGATGTTATGTTTTTTAAAACCTTTAAAAGTACCAAAAGAAAAAGCAGCCCTTTGTTTGTTTAAAGAAAGTGTGGATTAATTTTTTTTTAAAGTGTGAAGCATTATGAATTTACACCCAACAGGCATTATCAGCATTGTACAGACACTCGATACACTCAGTCATCGCAGTCGCCCTCATCCTAGTAAATTGTGGTACACATCAAGGAGGAGGGAGGGTGCTAAAGTGGAAAAGAAATAACAAAAATAATAGCAAGGTTTTACCACATGTACACTTATAAACAAACTATTTTATCCCAGTCTCAGTTTAAAAAAAAAAAGCGAGCAATTTAATTGGCAAGGTCTTTCTTTGTTTTGATTATTGATTTACTATGTAATCAAGAGCAATCGAAGCTACTTGTTAATTCAAAGTACCCAACAAAATTTTGCATCTTCATGTCACTTCGAGTTAACGAAAGCAATGCAGTGTTTGGATCTCTGAAAGTTGGTCATCTTTTCATGCGGCACAAGTTTCACCATCACACTGTTTCCAAAGTTCACATGTGTCAAAGTGCAGTTAATCCAAAGTTACAGCGACAGTATATCATGCCAGCAGAATCCAGCCACACATCCGCGATAGGGTCATATTTCTGCACGGTGTTGAGATAGGATGACCCCGAGTGGCCGCCAACTACATAAAGGTAGTTATCAATTACTGCAGCACCAACTCCTAGGAAAAAAAGGGGTAAGAAGCATATTAACCATAAAATAGGTTTATTCCCATGGGGGGTATATTTAGTATTTTCTAAAAGTATTTTCTATGTCAACAATATATCATTAATCATATAAGCAATATAGCAATGGGGAGGGAAGGGGGTCTCACTATAAGAGTTGACATATTCCTTCACCTCTATCTAAGCCTCCTCCTCCCTCCCAATAAACAACTATTAAAGCTATGTATCTTTCCAAATGCTTTCTTGTCAATATACATCTTTTTTACCCTATAAATCATTCACTTAATTAGAGTTTCAAATATATTGAAATATTTCAAGTAGATATTTAATTATATGAAATTCCACTATATAATCTATCACATATAAAAAAAGAAAACCATACTAAATTTTTATGCTCTCATTGCTTCATAATTTTCCTTCTAGCAGACTCATAATAACTACTTACAATAACAACTAAAATACTTAAATGCAACTCTATCCCTTGGAAAGAAAAGAACATTTAAAAGTGAACATACGGATGGTTGGTATTTTAAAAAAGAAGAGAGAAACAAACGGAACACTCTAAGGAAGGGGTGCATATGTATGAATGTGTGTGTGTGTGTGTGTGTGTGTGTGTGTGTGTATGTACATGTAACATAAGAGAGGTATCAACATTTGTGGAAAATTTCCACTATCTTTTAATTCTATTTTTTTTCATTAACTTTTTTGAAGCTCCACCCCTCTCCATATCAAAAGACATCTGTTATGTGTGTGTGGAGGAAAGAGTTTAAGATAAATTCCATCATTAGGATTTTGTCACAATGTGTTCTCCAATTTAGGGAAACAATAATGTACACACTGGTTTATTAAGATCTCAGTAAATAAAATCTGTAGTTTAAAATCTAGTCTCTCAAGCTTATCACACACAAAAAAGCTTTTTCTTGGGTTAGTATCTTTACTGTTACATTCTAAGACCATCATTCCCCCAAGAGTTTAGAAAATAATAAATAATTATTACCTGTTCTGGGTTCTTTCATTGGCCTACACACAGTCCACTGATTTTGATGAGGGTCATATCTTTCAATGCTTGACAAATGTGAAACACCGTTATGTCCACCCACCACAAAAATGAAGCCTAGCATGACACCCACGCCAAAGTGAATCCTTTTATCCGCCATGGAGGCAACCATCTCCCAGGAGTCCTTACTTGGATCATAACGCTCCACACTGTAGGTATTCACAAAAGAAAGAATTCATATTATTTGTGCCATTCCAACTAAAAGTATATTTGTTAGAGAATTTAGAAACCTGAAATGCACTACAATAAGGATATATATAAATACAGATATAAAACAAGAGTCTGTCTCGAATATTCAGATTTTGCAATGAAACTGCAGGGAGAAACATTTTCCTTGTGCAGAGGGTGTGGTAGTTACACTTCATGTCAACTTGAAGACATCTAAAAGTCTAGGGGTCACATTCAACCTACCCATCAGGTCACAGCCTGATGGTGCCTTCTTGTGGGCATGGCCTTCTCATAAGGAGGGCCCAGGGAACCTTCTTATCGCCTCCCACGTGCTCTGCCTGACCTTCCTGCTTTCTGGCCACCTCTGTAGCTATTGGCACCATGTGGGAACCATGTTTCCACAGACCTGCGATCCACACAACTCTGCACATGCCAGCCTGTAATCTTGCATTCTGCATCACTGCATGTATCAGATTTACAGATTTGAGTTGGGCTGGGCTAGGGTTTTTTGATATATAATTGCTTCTTGATTTAAAGCTCTTTCTTACACATTCCTGAGTATCACTGGATTTCTCTAATCCACCTGCCCTAACAGAGGGTGTAGCAATAACCACATTATTCCACTATATTATATAACCAAGACATATTAAGAAGGTAATAGAACTTGGAGTCAGAAGACTTCAAGTACTATTACTACATACTAGGAGCTAGATGACCCTTAGCTCTACCATTCTGCATTTGTGAAATCCTATATAAATTATTTCCTATCATCCGTAAAAGTAGGACAGAACCTCACAAGCGTAATCTTGTAGGAGTAAAATCAATTAAATATGACTGTGAAAGTACTTTCAAAACCACAAACTGACAGTGTTTTCTAGAGACAAAGGAGCTTCTACATAATTAAGGGAAAAGGAAGATGAAGAGAGAACTTCCTTTTTTTTTTTTTTTTTTACAAAAAGATTCACGGTGGTTTGTTTTTTAAAAGAAATTCCTGAAGATCTTAGCTGATCTAGAAGTATTTCAAAGTGATTCATTAGAGAATCCAGGAATTTAACTCAGGTCTACATTCCAGAGACGCCTTGGTATATTCAATTTGCATTATGTAAATCTAAATCAAATCAGAAATTCTACAAAAGCTTCCCTAGAAAATTCTGGAAGCCCTTTAGGACTATGCTTAGCCCTGAAGAGGCACAAAAGCAAGTTAGTTAAGCTTGTTCTGGGCTACATGAAAGAATGTTTCTGAAAGTCCACATAACAAAGAAGCATGAGGCCTGAATCATTAGACAAGAAGAGTTGATAAGCTGTAATAAGAAAATAAACTTTAAGGGCATAACCTCAAGACTATATTTAACCTTTTACCGTATATACTGATGTATAAACCAAGTTCTTCACAACATTTTTAATGCAGTTTTTGTGGTAAAATTAAGTGCCTCGGTTGATATTTGGGTCAGCTTATACTATATACAGTATATATGGTGTAAGTTTTTGCCAGCAGCTTTTCAAAGAATAGAAATGCAGGTATGAGCCCTAAGTATTCTTCCCTTACGATCAACAGGGCAATTAAAAAGTTTACCTTTAATAGAAATAAAAATTTATAGATGAAAATGCTGTTGCCATTACTTTCTCAATCAGCAAGGCACAAGATTAAATATGCTTGGATTAAAATTATTAAAATACTCATAAGCAATAAGATACAGGGCACTCTAATTACTACTAAAGAAACTCTTTAGTATATTAACTTCTATGAGGATTATGATAAATTTTTCATATACAAGTAGTCACAAATCTCACATTGCGCTGCCAGTGAAGCTCAGATACATGTGACGATTATTAGGGACATGGACTAGACCATACCCACCAACAGGATATATCATTCCAGAGGAACCCCAGAAAGGAAAAATAATGTAGTAACAGATTACTACCACCCCAAATTATTTTTCTAACTCATTATTATCTGGTTTCTGAATTTTAAAATCTATTCCATTTACAGTGAATAAATGAATATAAGTTTTAGTAAGAAGCATTCATTTCTTAGGGTGTATAAATTCCCAAGTAAAACAATTATAATTATACTGATGGAAAATATTACATTTCCAAAATGCCTATCAATGTTACTGTTACATTTTAAAACAGGAAGCTTGTTCACAAAATAAATTGATTAAAACTCAGCATTGCTAATGCCACTTTTTAAAAAAACTACACATGTATACTATCACTGCCATCACGTGGATTCTGACCCATAGTGACCCTCTAGGACAGAGGACTGCTGAGCCTGGGCCTCCACAGGAAGAAAGCCCGACTTTCTCCAGAGGAGTGGGACTTTGCAGTCAGCAGCACAATGCTAACTACTATACCACACAAGTACATAACGTGATTCAGTTACATACCTGTTCATGTGGGCAGGGCCATACCCACCAATGGCATACACCATTCCATCCAGTACAGCTGCAGCAAAGCAACTTCTTGTTGTAGTCATGGGTGCGACAGGTTGCCATTTTCTTATTTTGGGAATATACTTCTCTACAGATTGTAAATAAGACTGTCCATCATAGCCACCTAAAGCATAAAGTTCTCCTGCAAGTACTACCACGCCAAGGGTACTTCGGCTCTCATTCATTCTCTCTAGAGAAGTCCACGTATTTGTATCAGGATTCCAGCATTCTACTGAATTTTCATGTTTTCTGATAGTGACGCCAGGACGTACGTTCGTTTCAATGCCACCTATAACATACACTTTTTGATCTAAAACACATATTCCAAATTCATAGCGAGGAATGTTTAAAGGTGCCAAACCAATCCATGAGTCATTTTGAGGAAAATACATCTCCACACTAGAGAATGAGAAAAAAATTTTTTAATTTAAATCAAAATGGCCCGTAAGAAAATAAAATGTTTCATGTTATTAGTAATCAGGGATATACAAACTAAAACCACAATAAACCATTACATACCTTCATATTGATAAATCATTTAAATCAGATAATAACAATTGTTGGCAAGAATGTGAATCTTACTCAGTTGTTGAGAGTGTAAACTGATACTGTAGAATTTTATAGTATCTAATAAAGTAGAATCACAGCTACTATGACCCAGCAATTTCATGCCTATGTACCTACTCTACTGAATGTATATTACAGTCAGTTTTACACAAAACAAATGACAGCCCCAAAGCACAGTTAACTCATTAACAAATGAATGAAAAATAAGATATAGTATATGTACTTCGTGGCTGAGCAATTCCACTTCTGGATATGTAGCCAAGAGAAATAGATGCATGTGCTTACTATGTACAAGGAGTTCACAGCAGTATTATGTATAATAACAGAAAACTGGAAACAATTCAAATGCTTACCAGGTATAATGGATAAACTGCCATACTGCACAAAATATATTTCGAACTAAGCAAACTACATCTAAATGAAACAAGGATGAACCTTATACATGTGATATAAAAACATCAACTCAAAAGAATATATTTTGTATAATTTCATTTATATCAAGTTAAAAACAGATAAAGCTAATCTCGGTTAGAAATAAGAACAGTGGCTATCTTTGGGAAAAACAATGTAGTGCTTTGAGTTTTGTTCACATTGTTTCTTGAACTGGTTTTTAATGTTCACTTCGTGATAATTCATTGAACTGGACACTTCGTATTTGTACACTTAATCTAGTCACACTTTTAACTAATTTACACAATTTTCATTGAAAAAAATTAATTGTGATGACTTAGGAGAATACTATGCATCAAGTAAATAAAGTGTATCTTCATGCAATCTCACTGATGAATTTCAAAATTCCTGTTCAGCAAAACTCATTTCTGAAGAATACATATACTATTATTGCATTTGCACATAAATGTATAGAATTAAACAATGCAATGAGATACATACAATCTTGCAAAACTATAGAGAAAAGCAAAGGGCTAATACATAAAAAATTCGAGAGAGTGAATTCTTATGAGGATGGGAGAGATGACAGGGAGAAAGGGCACATTAGGACATTAAATGCTATTGTTAATATTCTATTTCTTAAGCTACTTAATAGAGGCTTGGTATTAACTCTTCATACCCTGCATGGATATTTTCCATGTATATATATTTCACTACAATAAATAGTTTGGAAAATCATAGCCAATGCCCCGCTACCTCAATAAAGCAGTATCATAAAAATGTATATTCTCCACCCAATAGGATCAAAGAGCATTCTTCCATTTGTTAATTCATTCAAAAGTACTGACGGCCTATTATAGTCAGTTTGCTCTAGTCATTGTTTTGAAAACAAGTATTTATTCCATTAAACTGTTAAATCAGGGCACAATCTGACCATAACACAGGTAGTTTCAGTGAAGTGGTAGGGCAAATCTTGACTCTTCCCCTACCACCTCACTGAAACTACCTGTGTTATGGTCAGGTTGTGCCCTGATTTGTCAGTTTTATTGGAATTAAAAAAGTTACTTAAAGGGAATCCAGGACGGATGAGCCCTATAGGACCAATGGTGTGAGTGGCAAAACAGGGAGGGTAAAGGGAGAATGGGTAGGAAAGAGGGAACCGATTACATGGAACTGTGTGTGACCTCCTCCCTGGGGGACAGACAACCAAAAAGTGGATGAAGGGAGACGTCGGACAGGGCAAGATATGACAAAAAACCCATTTATAAACTATCAAGGGCTCATGCGGGAGTGGGGAGCGGGGAGGGAGGGGAAAAATGAGGACCTAATGTCGGGGGTTTAAATGGAGAGAAAATGTTTTGAGAAATGATGTACAAATGCGCTTTACACAATTGATGTGTGTATGGATTGGGATAACAGTTGTATGAGCCCCTAATAAAATGTTAAAAAAAAAAAAAGTTACTTAAAAGAGAACAAGAGTTAAGTAAGTGAAAACAATGGGTTTCAGCAACTGTTCAAAGGATTTTTACTATACTGAGTAGAAAAACTATGAGGAGGTAGCTATAAAGAAAAGCAGAGCAAGAGTAAGGAGTCTAAAGAAAATTAATTTAATCTGGAAGCTTATATCAGAATATGCTTGCATGCTGAAAGCAATGATATAGCCCAGTGGCAGAAGGTGCCAACATAGGAAGGGAAAAGGAGAAGTATAAAAGTTAAGTTCTTGTGTACAGGAGAGGGTAGGTAACCCAGTGAACATGTGGACAACTGTAGTAGTTGGTAAGAAAAGGGCTAGAACGAGGTAGTAAAAGGTAGAAAAGTTCATTCATGTTCACTCAAGAGGGAAGGCAGATTAGTTACAGGTATAAGGGATTTGGCAGATTTACAAATGGCAAAATAAGGTGGCTCTTTTCTGACTGCTCCTCTTTTTTCAGAATAAGACAGGTCACCAGTTTAGGGTTAGAGGTGAAGGGAAAGAGATTGTTGATGTTTTAAAATGAGTAGAAAACAGACTTAGAAAGTGAAAGGGTGAATTGATTAAGACGTAGAGGGCATGCTGGAGGGTGCTGAGGGCTCCCAATGGTATCAAAGAGGGTAGGTGTGCTTCTCGAGTTACATTCTACTACTTAGGGGAGCTGGCATAGATAAGTATGATGGGCCAATAAAAGGATAAGAGAGCCAAAGGAGTGATGTCACTAGAACGGAAGTTGAGGAAGGAGTGACGTCAGGACGTGGCGCAGTCGATGAGCAGTCAAAGCGGCTGAGTAGGGAACCAAAAACCGAGTGGTAGTAAGAGAGAAGTGGTAGTCAGAGAAAGATGTCTGAAATTAAGATTTCAAGTTATGTTAGAATTATTGCTAATGGATATGTTGAGGGCATGATCTTGGGAATAAGAAGCAAAGATGAGGCAAAGAAGATTGAACATGAGGTGAAGGAAGAGAAGATAAATGGTCTATATGTGGACGTTGAAATTTTTAAGAATGAAGGCTGATGAGAAATCAGAAAACCAGTGAGCCAGGTATATAATTTTTAACGAGTGAAGTAACCAAAGGAACAGAAGATGACAGCAACAATGAGGGACAGCAAGTGATATAGCCTGATGGCAAATGCATGAAGAGTTTAAAACAAAAAGTGGTTAAGAGAAGCAAAGAAAAACAAAATACCTGTCCAACTTCTAGTTCCTGTGATACATGACACTGACAGAGAGAGAAAGAGTAGGGAGGGTGAGATACTGGCTGTTTTTAGATTGTGACATTTCGAAAGCAGTTAATTCTCGACGGCACTTCTAGATGGATTTGAACAGCCAGCCTTTAGGCTAGTAATTGAGTGCTTAACCATCTATACTACTCATCGACTCCAGTTTAAAGGTACCTTTAACATACGTGCACAATTAAAATGCTGTCAATGTACTGTCACCCTTGCAACTCCTTATGTGTAAATAGAATCATTAAAATTATTCTGAGTTTGACCACTTTCCTTAAGTCATCTAGGCAACCCCTACTTCCCTCTCTAGATAACAAACTTTCTGAGCTAAAGGAAAAACTGAGGCCCTCAGTCATGATTTACCTTAAATCTGTTTCTGCCCCCTACCATCCCACTCCTGCCCCCATAAACCTATCTTCAACTTCCTGTCTCAGAGCATTGAGGCCCATTTTTCCTATTCAAAACCTCCTACTTTCGCTTCAGATACCAAAAGGGGCATGTAAGCCAGCCAAAAGTTCACAGAAGACTTCATGATTTTAGCTTTAACTATTAAATTCTAATCTACGATGACTTCCAAATCTCTAACCCGGATCTCTTAAACTACAAACCCGCATTCAGCTAGCTATAGGGTATTCTTTATCTGGCACATCAAACTCATTATGCTCCAAACTAAACATTATCTTCTGCCTAAAATGGGTCACCCACCCATGTTCTCACATTCTGCTGCTAGTGTAATCATCAACCCAATCTAATTTTAAAAATCTGGCTCTTCGATTCTTCTTTCTCCCTCACCACTTCCCACACCCCCCAGTACTATAGTCATTCAAATTCCAAATCTTCATTTTATTCTTATAACATTTCTTACATTAATTTCTGTTCTCTACCCAGAGGGAGAGTTCTACTCTGTCCTATAGTGTCACTAAGAGTCAGAATTGACTGGCTAACAGTGAGTTTTGTTGTTATTGTTTTCATCTTTACCATTACTTCTCTAATTCAAGACCTTCATAATCTCTTGCTTAGATTTATCTCATCACTAGATCTAAAGATACATATTTCAACATATTACACTTCTGTTAAGATGTTTCTGGAAGTCAAACTCTAGGAAAGAAAACTGATAAAATAGGAGGAGAATTGTTGACAAAGGAAGAGTCCCAGCCAGACACGTTAAATTTTATCTTAAACCTTTCCACAGGATTCTTGACAATACTGAAAACTCTGATTTGTACCCTCCTTAAAATAGCTTTGCAACAACATAATAAAGCCATTCTCTTTAGCATGGCACACAATACATAGCCCAAACAGACCACCGTCTGACTTTTTTTAATTAGAACTTTATACACTGGAATACCAAAAAGGGTTGTTTCTTTACATAACCTATTCTGTAGCAGGCCATTATGTTCTCATCCTTGTCCTACTACCGTCCTTTCATCACTCGGCTCTTACTTAGCTTTCAACATTCAGCTTGAATATTATTTTCTCCACATCTCCCACATACCCCAGATAAAATGTTACAGAATTATCTTCCTCATTGCAACAGTGATAAACATCTGTCTCCTTTATGAACTTGTTGAAGATCCAATATCTAGCTTAGTGTGTCTAGTGCACAGATGTTTAAATTTTTAGGTATAATTAAACTGAATGATCATCAGCCTGGTTCCAAATTGTCTATGCTTATAAATAATGTTGCAATCAGTAAACATCTAAGTGTAAATGCTATTTAAATTTTTTTCTTAGAATGGATTTTAAGATGTAAATTTACTACATTTAAAAAAATAAAATATTTCTTAAAATGCTACAATAATTTATGTCAGTTATTTTTCATGCAGTCAGATCTTACATTATAAATTAGTTCTATTTCAAAATCTGTCTTTACGTTGGATTTGTATATAATTCAGAAGTTAGGAAGTCAAATGTCTTAATATGTGATATATGATGTACTTTTCTATGCATAAAATAATTAAAATACCTACAGGTACACTAAAATGTCTCTAATATATGTAATAAAGTTATAATAATAGTAATGGCTTGATGTGTGTGGCTAAGTAGCATCTATTTGTTACTATAAACCATTGTATGTACCTCACATTTTTATATCACAGGCTTTATGGGAATTAGTTCATAACTACAGGCTATACAGAAACTAGACATTTATAAGCTGGGGAATGCCTGTATTTGAGAGTTCAAGAAGCAATTGCTCAAGAGTTTTATAATGTATACTCATATTTAGAATCTTTTTTATCATGACACTTAATATGACAATAATCAATGCCTTTAAAAGTAAAAGTTCAGCAATCACCATGTTACCACCATAATAACTCTACCAATAGCTCAATTTCAATAGCAGCAGTGTCAGACTACAACTAATATGTGTAGTTCAATATTTAATACATTGCCACTGATAAATTTAATAAATTGCCTACATGAGAATGAGAGGAAGGTAACCTACAAAAGTTCTGGAAATGGTCAGAAAGAAGTACAGTTCTCTAAATACAAACAAACTGAAGCAGTCTGGAACAAGGGATAATATTTACCTGTACTTTTTTTAAAATCATTTTATTGGGGGCTCATACAACTCTTATCACAATCCATATATACATCCATTGTGTCAAGCACATTTGTTCATTTGTTGCCATTATCATTCTCAAAACATCTGCTTCCACTTGAGCCCCTTTTATAACTGTACTTTCACTGTATAAAAGTTTGTTATATGACGATCTAAGTCAGAGTTTGGCGAACTATGGCTGTAAGCCACTGAAGCCTACTAGCTATTTTTGTAAATAAGGTTTTGTTGAAACACAGCCATGCTCATTCATTGATGTATTTTCTATGGCTAAACTTCAGTACAATGGCAGACCTAAGTAGGTGTGACAGAACCCATATATAGCCCACAAAATCTAAAAACTTTACTATCTTTTTTAGAAAAAGTCTAACAATCTCTTAAATTAGTAAAAAACAAAGCCGTTTAGTATTCTCAAAAAACATTTACAGTACGAAAAAATACTGCTTATAAAGGTCATGATTTATTTCTTTATGTTTTCCCATTTCTTTAGTGGTACTTCTAACAAACCATTCTTGTCCTCACTCTACCCACATCACAGTTTTCTAGTGCTCCTCTTTAACAGCTTCTAATACAGCTGGGCAACAGTTCACCTGAAGGGGCTCTGGTGGCATAGTGTGGCCACATGATGGGTGCTAACTCATCAGTTTAAAACCACCATCTGCTCTTCAAGAAAATGATGACTCTTTCCTTCTCTAAAGACTTATAGCCTCAGAAACCCTAGGGAGCAGTTGTATTCTATGTTAGAGGGTAGCTAACAGGCAGCATCGACTCAATGGCAGTTGATTTGGTTTGGGTTTAACCTGGTCAGACTCAATTAAGGATGTACATTTACATGCCCCCAAAAAAGGGTTAACAGAAAAAAGGAGGCATGAAATGGAAGAAAACCTAGTGAACAAAATGGATACGATAAAGAAGTGGTGGGGGGCAAGAGAGAATAAAACATCAAACTCACTGCCATCAAGTCAATGCGTACTCATAGTGACTCGCTGTGGGCTTCCGAGACGGACTGTTTCCTTGAGCAGAAAGGCCCGTCTTTCTCCCGGAGCTCGTGGTGGTTTCACACTGAGGACGGCGATGTGGACGCAGCCCAACATGTAATCATACTACCAGGTCCTCCAAGCGAGGACAGAGCTCATTAAAAAGTTTTTGAAAAAAATGGATAGAAATATTATTAAAACAACCAGATAAGCGTTTTAAGTAGAAAAGATAAAAAGAGCAGAGGGTGGTAAAAAAAGCAAATAAAAGAAACACAATTATTTCTAAAACATGGAAACGTATCACATTAAAACGCATAAAACCACGCAACTTGAAATATGTAATCAATGTCACTGGTTTAGACATGTGCAAAGGTTGAACTAGCATTGTGTTGCGGTGTATATTAAAAAACAAAACACATACAACTTATTAGCATCAATTCTTTAAAAAAGCCTTATATTTACCTATCCAAAGATGCAAATAGTCCAGATTTTCCTCCGACTGCACAAAGTACTTTTGGAGCACAGCGAGGTCGTGTCCTTAAGACCGTCTGATGAGAGAGCCTATGTTCAGGCATAAAGTGGTACTTTAGGGCTTCATTTAAAAGATGTTTGCAAGTACGATCATCACGAATAAGATGATTTGCTTCATACAGTCTAGTGAGAAATTTAACACTCAGCAATGGTAATCTCACACTGTTTAGTAGCTGTGCTAAGTATTTCTGGCGTTCTTGTACATCGTACTTAATCCAAGACTCAAGTGCATAAAAAACAGTCTCCTCAGTGGCTACATTCAAACAGTCATTCGCAACAATTTCATCCAAATCAGCATGTGTTAGCTCAAAAAACTCTTCAGTCTGGCAAACAGCTTCAAAATTCTGGCATATATATTTAGTAGCTGCCAAATAAAGGTCATGACAACCATAGGTCTCTGCAAAACGAGAAATTCCAATACAATTACCAGGATCAAGTTGGCTTTCAAGAAATGCACAACATTCTTTCAGGACAAGTTTTATCTGGAGTAGGTTTGCTGCTGGAAGGAGAGATTCAACTGTGTCCTGGGAAATGAACACGGTTCCAGTGTAGGCATATTCCACGATGGCCTGGAGAGCAGTTTCATCAACGCACTGAAATTCAACTTCACTATTCTCTTTTTCAGATAAGTTTCCAGTGAACATAGCTTTGAAATATGGGCTGATGCTGGCCAGTACCACTTTGTGAGCATGAATTTTAACATCACCTACTCGGAGAATGATGTCACAGAGTTCATGATGTTGACGAAGAAGATTCAAGCCCTGCAGAAGTTGCTCAGAGTGTAAATGAGTTAGATTAGTAAGCATGTAGGTCGGTGATGTGTGGTCCATCTACAGGAAAAAAGGGGGAAAAAGCATAGTTATCTAAGTAATCTTAGCAGTATGATTTTTCCAAATAGTGCAAAATAGATCAGATTTGTTATTTGTTGGTTTTTAAATCCCTTATACTAAATAATAGAACAGAGGCTTTAAGAGTTTGAGGGAAACTTAACAGTCATATAATTTAGCTTCTTTCTTCTAGGTATTAGGAAATTGAAGTCTAAAAATGTACAAAATAAAAGCATTTATATGACCCAAACCACATAGGTCTCTTGGCAATGAATCTTTATATCAGACTCCATCAATTCTTCCATCCTGTTTCTTTTCATTAAATTCAAATCTGAACTGCCACTGCAATAAAATAGAAGCAAAAAAAAAAAAAAGGAAAAAACTTTGCCTAACCTAAAGCCAGTATTAAAATAATTCTACTTAGCCATTTTCTCAGTATTAGTGCCTGCCAAACCAAACAACAGATATTTTAATCTAAATGAAATTTCATAATATTAACTCAAAAACTTAAATCCCAAAGTCAGCATACCCACTTCTCCATTTATGGACATCATTAGATTCCAAAGGTCATACCATTACATGAAAACTGTTATGCAAAAATGGAGGATGACCACATCAAATCACAAAGTAGAGAATGGCTACATAATTACATAACTGACAAATGCCATCATTACATAACTGCCAAGCCATTGAGAAACATGGTCCAGCTAAGCTGACACATGAACTTAACCATCATAGCCCAGTGTTACAAGGGGGCTTAAAAAGCTCCTAGAAAAATGGAATTGAAAGGGAACACCCATCCCCAATCTGCTTACCACTTTCCTTATTGAAAATAAAAAATAATAAAGGGAAGAAAGGAAAAATGATGAGACAGAAAAAAAGGAGTGGATATAAGGTCTATTATAAGTTGAATAATGGTCTCCCAAAAGATACCATGCCCTAATCCCCAAAATCTTTGAATATTACTTTATATGGCAAAGACTTTTCATAAATGATTTAAAAATTTAAGTTAGGAAGATATCTTAGATAAACTAGGAATAAATCAATAGGCCTTAAACGCAATCACATGTATTCTCATAAGAGGAAAAGATATGTGATACAGACAGTAGAGAAGGCAGTGTACCCAAGGCTGCAGCAATTAGAAAAATGCAGCCATAAACTTAGGAATACTGGCAACTACCAGAAAGTGGAAGAGCCAAAGAATGGAATCTCCCCTAGAGAAGGTGGGAGTGTGTTCAGAGGAGGATGCTACTTTCCAGAACTGGTACAACTCGTGCCTAGACTTAAGAGTGAATAATGAACAACAGAAATAGAGTGAATATATAAATTTTATCTTCTTTCAGCCTCATATCCTTTATCTGTAAAATAAAATAATACAGAAAGGTTTTGATGATCAAATCAGACACTGTATATAGTAAATGGTAAAGCTCTAAGTGTAAGGTACTATGGTGAAGCAACAGGGTTGTAATAAGAGATTAGAAACACACTGTGTCAACTAGGAATATGTAGATGGAGTTCAATTAGCTTGATTGGAGGGTGACCAAGATAAATGGAGGGGGGAAAATGAGGAGCTGATATCAAAGGCTCAAGTAGAAAGAAAATATTTTGAGAATGATGGTGACAACAAATGTACAAATGTGCTTGACACAATGGATGGATGGATGGATTGTGATAAGAGTTGTACGAGCCCCCAGTAAAATGATTTTTCTTTAAATAGTTCCAGAAGATGAACCTCTTATGTCAGAAGGCACTCAAAACATGACTGAGGAAGAGCTGCCTTCTCAACATAGAGTTAACCATATGATGTAGAAGGAGTACAGCTTTCACATGCTGATGGGGCACAACTCGAACTGAGAAAAGCACAGATGCACGCAACTATAACGAATTGGCTCTTGGATTGCATGAATCTAGAGCCAGAAGTAGAAAATAAAGTGGAATGCATAAAGCTGGACATCTTAGCAATTAGTGAGTTGAAATGGCCTCGTTTGGCCATTTTGAATCAGTCATATGGTTTATTACTTTGTTAGGAATGACAAATTCAAGAGGAATAGTGCTGCATTTATCGTGAAGACACTGCAATAATTATATTGAAGTACTACGCTATGATAGGATAATATCTATGTACATACCAGGAAATCCAGGCAATATACCATATATACTTGAGTATAAGCCAAGTTTTTTCAGCACATCTTACATGCAGTTTTTGTGGTAAAATTAGGTGCACTGGCTGATATTCGGGTCAGCTTATACTCAAGTATATACAGTAACTAGTATTCAAATTTATACACAAGACGCTGTGGCTAAGAATGAAGAAATTGAAGAAGTTTACTAACATTTTTGGTCTGAAATTGATCGAACTTGCAATCAAGATACATTGATAATTGGTAGCGATTGGGACACAAAATTTGGAAACAGAGGAAGGAGCAGTATTTGGAAAATATGGCCTTGGTGACAGAAAGGAAGCTGGAACATTATGAAAGATTTCATAAGGCCCGCTACATCTTCATCGCACGAACAACAACACAAACAATTATACACGTGGACTTCTTCAGACAGAACATAAAGACATCAACTTGACTGCATCTGTGGGAAGAGTATTAGCAACAATGGGCTGAAACATAACAGCAATTGAAAGGATGGCGCGGGATTGGGCACTCACGGCACCTAACGACAAAAACAGAGGTCAGCAGCTGTTGAGTTTGAATAGCCAACTGTGCTGTCAGTGACACAATGTCTGACATAAAGCAACACCAGGCCCTTAGACTCCTTCAGTTTCGCTTCATGAAGCTTGAGGTTTTCCTTCGGTTTTAACACGCAAATGCTGTGTGTCCTTCTCTTTTTGTTTTTTTAACTCCAGGTTTTCGTATAATTCATTGTAATCTTGACCTAGTCTTCTCAAGACGCTCTTTGAAATCTTCAGTTCTTCTACTTCATCCTTCTTTTCACTTTGCTTTAGTTACTGTAGGGGCCCTAGTGGTGTAGTGGTTAGGAGTTGGGCTGCAATCTACAAGATCAGCAATATGAAATCAGCAGCCGGCTTTCAGAAATCCACAAGCGGTTGCTATGAATCAGTACTGACTTGATGGCAGTGAGCCTGGTTTGGTTTGGGTTAGTACTGTACTCAAGAGCAAGTTTCAGCATCTCTTGGACACCTAATTTGGCTTTTTATTTCTTTTCGGTCTTTATAATGATCTTTTGCTGTTTCATGAGTGCTGCCCTCAATATCATCACACAGTAAACTGAGATGGGACATACTGAAGGCCATATTTGGGTCTCATAGACTTGTTTAGTTGTCTGCATAGTCAGCTTGAACTTGCATATGAGCATTCATTATCTGTCCTACAAGCAGTCCTGGCCTGATCCTGACTGAGGATATGGAGCTTCTACAATATCTGTTTAAAAGATTTAGTTGATTTGCCTCCTATATATTCCATCTGAAGAGGTCCATATGCTTAATCATCATTTCTGTTTAGGTAAAAAGGTATTTCTGAAGAGTAAGTAGGTGGTCTTACAAAATTCTATTATGTGATCTTCCCAATGTTTCCATCACCCAAGGCTATATTTTCCAATTACTGATTCTTCTTCCTTGTTTCCAACTTTCACATTCCAAAGTCTAGTAATTATCAATGCATTTGGATTGCATATTTCATTAACTTCAAACTGCAGCAGTTAGTAAAACTATAAAAGGTGTGTGGCAGAATTGTACCTTTTTACCATACTTACTCTAAATGCTAAGCAAATAATCTGAGCTGGACTATATGAAGAACAACATAGCATCCGGATTGATGGAAGATTCAAGAATCTGTGAATGCAGTGTTCACAACCTTGCTTGCCACATGTGAAGAAGATTTGAAGCCCTCTACTGATGAAGATGTAAGACTACAGTCTTCAGTATGGTTTACTCAATGCAATGAAAGCAAATACTTTTCTCACCTAGAAAAACACACAAAACCATTATGAGCAGAGAAAATATTGAAGCTGTCAAGCATTTCATTTTACTTGGATCCACCACAAAGATCACAGAAGCAGTGGTCAAGAAATCAAATGATGTTTTACAGTAAGCAAATATCTTACAAAAGACCTATAAAAGCTCAATAGCAAAGATGATACTTTCTTAGGTGCCAACATGCTCCTTAAGAAATTCAGATAGTGAGACTTGTTGGCACATAATTTTTGGATATGTTATCAGGAGAATGACAGCCCAGGTGAAGGGCATCAAACTTGGTAAAGGATAGGCAAAAAAAAAAGGGGGGAAGGAGGTTAGCACAACATTTGAAACAAGGGACTTAAACACAGCAAGGAGTGTACAGATGGCATGCGACCAAGCAACATTTCTTTCTGTTCGATACAAGGTCGCCATAAGTTGAAACCAACTTGTGAACTTGGCCGCCTGTATGCTCTTGAACCTGACCACCTCCTAAATCAAACATGAATCTAAGCAACTCTCTAGATCCAACTAAAATTTCCAAGAAAGATTAAAACCAGGCTAAACTTTATCAGAGATAACTGTTATCAGTTTTCATGGAAAAATTCAATAAAAAGATAGTGGAATTTGTCACAAAAATTTTAAAGGTCCCTCATATGTAATGAGTAATAATAAAATAAAACCCTGACTGTGAAAAATTTTATGGAGTGCATAATCCAATTCTTCAACAAATAAAAGAAATAGAGAAGCAATCTACAGATTAGACATAAGACATTTCAATCAAATGCAAAATCTGAAACCACGTAGACATACACACAAACCTTATAATTAGGATAAATAAAAATTTGCACACCGACTGGATAATTGACTTATAATACTTTACTCATATTCGTGGTTAAATACTAGTATTGTAGTTTGGTTTTAAGGGAGAAACAATCTACAAATTAGGCTTAAAAGACATTTGTAATCAAATGAAAAACCATATACAGACATAGACACGAACTTTATAATTAGGATAAATAAAATTTTGCTCACTGACTAATTGACATATTACTTATTGTTATATTTGTGGTTGAATAAGAGTATTGTAGCTTGGTTTTAAGAATTTTCATCTTTTAGAAATACATACCAAAATCAACACTTATGGGGTCACTACAGGTTAGGATGAACTTGATGGTACCTAACAACAACAATCTGTCTCCAGAGTTGTAAAAAACTATGCTGTAGTCTCACTATTCAATAAGCCTATAGTTGAAGCTTATATGTGTTTTCGTTTTTTGGTGTATGAAAACTAGGGCTGATGAACCTATAGAGTCAGCAAGTGGAATAAGGGTTTCGGGGGTGGGGGGACACAGAAGTGGTGGGGTGAAGGGGTGATGACGTCTTTTTCCATATAGAAAAAGAATATTTGGAAACTGTGCTAGCAAATGTACAATTCTGCTGGGCGTGACTGAACTATGATATGATTTGAAAAAAAAAGATTTGATATATGCATTAATTCTAATTAATTTTTTTAAAGATTTAGAATGCAAACCCAAATTGTTAGATTAGATATATGTATATTATATACATCAGATATAAAAACATAGCAGGGTTTTATAAATGAAATGAGTGATCTACAAAACAAGTACTCTTTCTGTTATTTATATACTAACAGGCTTAATTCTTCTTCTCTGACATCCATGCCACACTTTTTTATTTTGTTTTGGCACCATAAAACAATTACTTAGGAATACTCCAGGTAACTGGATTAGTTATATTAAACAGTATCAATTCAAAGTTTTTAAAAGTTAATAATATTGTCATCCCAAATCATATTCTTGTTGTCTAAATATATAAATAAAATGATACTATAAGAGGAAACTAAACTCAAATAAAAATATTCATAATCTATAATAACCTTATAATTTTAAATTCTGAAACCAAGTTAATAAGGTCAAGCTTTAAGTTTAATAGCTATTTAATTGATACCTAGGCTACAAAACAGTGGTGCTTAAGTCACTTGGGAGGCAATTATCTCCTACTATATAAATATAGAGCATAGTGAACAAATAATTGGAGAGGAAGGAAGGCTGCTTATAAAAAATCTAAACATATACATGTTTCTTTGAAAAATGCAATTTATCAAGTTAGGACTATGAGGATTCCTTAAATAGCTCATGGGAAAAATCTATTCTTTTATAAACTTTTTGAAGCCCACTCTTTTTTTATCCAATCTGCTCTTAAATTTCTTCAAATTTAACTTTCCTCACCAACTGATTCAACTAATGCTACATAGAATTTAGTTAGTGATTCTATATAGAACAAGTTAGCATTAACATTCGCTTTCATCCAAGATTGATTTTTATTACAGCTAGAGAAGTAAATGAAAAATTAAAAGCCTGTCACAATATAAATCATTATGATGGATTCAGAAATAACAGAAGTTCTCAAGGCTGTTAGTACATCCAATAAAAGCACTATATAATTAATCACTGTCCACTGCAAAATTTGCTGCAATAGGTCTGAAGTCCTGTTAATCTGAGTGCTTACAAAGCAATAGAAATAGATTTTGGTTTAAAATTATAGTTTTGACTCAGGGCAGAAATGTAAAATGACTTTGGAGTATGAGGTAGCTCCAAAAAATTCCTGGGGAAAAAATGGATATAAAAGATAATTGAATTTTTCCAGGCACTTTCTGAAGCCCTCTCATAAAAACCTAACTACCTATTGCCTTCAAATTGATTTCCACTCACAGGAACAGTATACGACAGAACAGACTTTCTCCATCAGGCTTCTGAGGTTGGAAATCTTTATGAAGGCAGGCTGTTTAATCTTTCTTCTGCAAAGCAGCTGGTGTTTAAGGTTAGCAGTCCAATGCTTAACCCACTGCATCACCAGGACTCCTATAAGAACCCAACTCCAAACTTAAACCTATGAAGATCACATACATCACTGAAACACATTAAAAAACGAACAAAAACCTACTTAATGAGTGCATCTGTCTGTTTAGCTCTGTAGGTTTCCAATCCCACTTGGGCTTCTGCCCCCTTTTAGAGGGAAAAAAATTCTCAGTACACTGCTGGCAGTTAAAACCTCTTAAAGCCCATAATCCAGGATAAAGTGTAGGTATCTGATTTTGCAGGCTCTCAGGATCATTCAGCACCCCGGAGTGGGAGGTGTATCACCTACTTTGCAAAACACTATCTATACTCGTAATTTCCTAATCTTATTAAAGTTTTAACTCTAATAAAGACTAAAAAGGTTTAGAAAAGTAGCACAAAAAATATGAACACATTTAAATAATAAAGAATAGAAGGATAATGCAAAGAAAAAAAAAGAATGCCAAAATCTAATTCCATCCTATAGTTTGAATACTATTCCGCATTGAAATGTTCCCACAGTGCTAAACAAATCGTTAAATTGACTAAGTTTTGCTTTCTTCCTCTGCCCAATTATTCCCAGTGGAAATACCCATAAAATGTGCTACAGTATAAATGTTGAAGATATAACCATAAACATTTTTGATAATTAATAAGTTAATATTCACTAGGAGCCTAGCACTTACTGACACATTCAAAAAGTGGTAATAATATTCTAGTTATCTACTACTAATAAAAGCACCTTTCATTTGACATTTCTAAACAATAACCTATCAAGTCACATAAAATTCTTAATATTTTACAGAATTCACACTTATTTACAATATTTGAGTAAATCTGAGTAAAGATACAGAAAAAAAATCAACCAAATAATACTTATGGCTATAACTATACCAATGAATAATTATGGAAATGAAGGTTTTTTTCCCAACAAGAACGATGTATACAAACATTTCTGTAACTCATTAATTTAAGACATATTCTAAAATTTAACTAGTTTTACACAAATTTGCTATTTTTTGTGTATCCTTACCTCTTTCCAATTTTCAGAAGTATATTTTGGATCCACTGTTGTGGAATGTTATTTCAAAATTTTTACCTTATCTGTAGCTATGATAAGGAGCATTGGTGGCACAGTGTATTAAGCACTAGGTTAGTAACTTATGGTCAAACCCACCACCTGTACCTGTTCCCATAAAGTGTTAGTCTCGAAAACCCTATGGGGCAGTTTTAGTCTGTCCTATACACTCTGAATCAGAATCAACTCCAAAGCAGTGATTGTTTTGTTTGCTTTTAAAATCAATAAAAATATAAAATGTTTTTCTAGTCAGCATACAGGAGGTCCCTAGAATCCAAGAATATATAAAAACAAACAAATCCCACTCTATAGACGTAAAAGAACCAATACTAAGTAGATACTATTTATCTTCTACAGACTAAACCTACAACTTCAATAGTTGTATATATGGTGTTGAGATTCCACTTTAAATAGCTTCACCATGAAGAGTAATGCATCTTCTAAGTCTTCTCCAGAGACTAAATTGTTCTCTCTAATGGACAATGATGTTCAGAGATTTGAGGGAAAATGTTAAAATGAAAACTCATTTTGCTCTGTTTCAAGGAAAAGGGCAAACAGCTGGTTAATGATATGTATGCATGTCCCTAATAATGTATTCTCGAAAGAATGATGGGATAATTTTAAAGCTTCTACCATAAACTTGATAAAAGTCACTCAAGACTTTCCAAGTTCCTTTTCTTTTGAGTCCACACAACTTTCTAACATTAACTTGGTTTCTCAGGTTCTCGGGCACGAGAAAGTTCCCTGGATTTTACTTGAAAATTCTGATCACTGGAAAATATTTATCTTTTATTCCAACATAAGCTGGCATTCTAATGTGTATATACTTCTCTTGCTAGTTTAGTTTGGACAGGGTTACTGAACACTTAGCATAAACAAGTAAAGGTATAAATTTAAGCTTCTTCAAGTGGAAATATGAAAACAAGACACTCCTCACTGACAGCTGCCTTATCTCTTGATCTTCCCCCCCTTTCTACTCTGCCTGGAAAATGAAATGGCCTGTTGAAATATGCTAGCCAAATCAAATGTTGGCAGATTCACTTAAACACCAAAATGACTACATTTTTAAAATTACAGCCTGAAATATAACCAAAAATAAGGATATATGTTTACACAAAATACTCTATTCCCAAAGAAACTGTCTTTTAAAGGCAACATCACTAAATTATTTTTGAACTTGCATCATCCAGGAACGTTATTTTTTTGAAGTGGTTTGGCATATGAGACTCAATTATTTCAAGACTTAAAAAATATTTGAAGAGGCATCCTATCTCGAACAGAGCACGATAGGAACACGTGCATTCAAGGTGCATGTTTCGTACTGCAAATACCCTAAGTGGGATTTTCCCTCTATATCGTTCAAAGTATGTGTTATCTCTGAACCAAAGAAAATAAAATCTCTCTTCCAAGCTCCGAAGAACTTAGCTTTGCACCAGACGCTAGAGTTCTTCAGGTTTACATGTACTTTAAAACAAAGAGGTGTCTACTAGTAGTCCCAAATCCATAGGGCAGAATTCTCTACGGACCATGAAGCCAAGAACTTCACCTCCAACTGAAATTGTCTTCGCAATCTCCGTCTCTAGGAGACTAAAAAGGCTGCAGAGACACGTGAGGATCCTGCAGGGAGGAGGTGAAGGGGGGGGTGGGGGGGGTGGGCAGTACCGCGAAAGAGCCAGCCCCACAGAAGAAATGCATTAGAATGGAAGACTTTGAAAATGGGTAAAAGAGAGGTGGTCAGTTATAAGGAAAATAGACATTTCCCCATATCATTTGCGCTTCAAAAAGAACTAGGAGAAACACGAGGGAAGGTAACAGAAACCCATCAGTAGTCCTCGGTTCTAGGAGCAGGGAAGGGGGCGGAGTGGAGAGACGAGTTAAGGGCCCAACAGACGTGAACTTGAAAAACCGCACGCAAGCTCTCTTGGTCTTTGTCTGAATGTCAATTCTCGACAAGCGCACAGCAGGTGGAAACCCACTTATCGTTGGGTTCCACAGAACGCGTCCACAACGGCAACGAGCACCGAGCCAAAAAGATGTCGCCTCTCCCGCTGGCTGCCGATCATTCCTTTACCTCTCAGTCTCGCGGCATTCCAAGCAAAACTTGTCAATGCATGTGTCGCAAGAGCACAACAAAAGGAAAATACCTGAGTCTCAAGAATCACGCGACAAGAGGAGGAGGAGCTGTGGACAACTGAAGCCCGAACAGCAGCTTCACTTGACTCTGGTCAAAGCCCAACTCTTTCGGGTGGGGCGGGGAACTTCCGCCCGAGGGAAACGTCACTTCCGTCTATTGCATTTACTCCTCCCCTCCGGGCCTTCCCGGACGGCTCTATTTCTGTCTATGCAAAACAGCTGATGTGCACTACATATCCCAGCATCTATCACGGCAGGTTGATTTCCGGGTCAAGAGTTCCGTGCAGGGTAAATCACCATGGAAGCGATCGGTTTGGTCACGTGGTGTCCCTGGTTACGCCCGGTGGCCGCTGTGGGGTCTGGGGCCCTGGCGGGGGCCATTTTACTAAAGAGAGACTTCAGGAGCGGCCTAGCAGCTGGTTGGAGCGACTCCCTTTCCTCCTTTGCAGCTTTCAGCCTGGAGAGGAACTCGGAGACTGGGCTCCGCTGAGCCCTTTCGATATGACAATGTTCTCCTCCAACCATCGCCACCTGACGACCCTCCATGGCGGCTGCGTCCTCCGCGCTGTTCCAGCTGCCGCCTGGTCCAACCCTCTGTGCCTGTCGCCTCCAGAGCCGCTACCAACCTTCTGCCCCAGAGACTGATGACAGTCGGCTTGGGGGCACCATGAGAGGAGAGAAAAACTACTGCCGCGGAGCTGCCGGCGACCACAGCTCCTTCCCCCGGACACCGTCTCCTCTGGCCTCGACCCTCTTGATGCCGGCGGACGCAGTCTCCAGCAGTTGGTCTGGGTCTGGAGGTGTTTTGTCAGCGGGAGATGAAGAAGAAACTCGGCTCCTACAACTGCTCCGCGCTGCTCCGGATCCTTCCGAGGCTTTCCAGGCTTTGCAAGCGGCTTTGCCTCGGCGCGGGGGCCGACTTGGCTTTCCCCGACGGAAGGAAGCTTTGTATCGGGCCCTAGGCCGAGTCCTTGTGGAAGGCGGCAGTGATGAGAAGCGACTTTGCCTACAACTTCTCTCGGACGTTCTCCGAGGCCAGGGGGAGGCAGGCCAGCTGGAAGAGGCCTTTAGCTTAGCACTTCTGCCTCAACTAGTAGTCTCCTTACGAGAAGAGAATCCCGCCATGCGGAAGGATGCCCTGCAAATCCTGCATATATGCCTGAAACGTAGTTCTGGCCAGGTGCTGAGGACACTTATCCAACAAGGACTAGAAAGTACGGATGCCCGCCTTAGAGCTTCCACAGCCCTCCTGCTACCTATCTTGCTTACTCCTGAAGATTTGTTGCTCGGCCTCGATCTTGCTGAGGTAATAATATCCCTAGCGCGAAAGCTCGGCGATCAGGAGATAGAGGAAGAAGCAGAGACCGCCTTCTCAGCTCTCCAACAAATTGGGGAGCGACTTGGCCAAGAGAGGTTTCAATCCTACATCTCTCGCCTGCCTTCTGCCTTGCGGAGACACTACAATCGCCGCTTGGAGTCACATTTTGGAAGTCAGGTTCCTTATTATCTGGAACTTGAAGCCGCTGGATTTCCTGAAGAGCCCCTTCCCTGTGCAGTGACTCATTCCAACAGCAATCTTAAATTTGGAATTATTCCTCAGGAACTGCATTCAAGATTGTTGGATCAAGAAGACTATAAAAACAGAACTCAGGCCGTTGAAGAACTAAAGCAGGTGCTGGGAAGATTTAACCCTAGTTCGACGCTTCATTCTAGTCTTGTCGGTTTCATTAGCTTGCTGTATAATTTGTTAGATGATTCCAACTTCAAAGTGGTCCATGGCACACTCCAGGTCCTGCATTTACTGGTTAATCGCCTTGGAGAACAGGCACAACAGTTCTTGGGCCCAATTATAGCGGCTTCTGTCAAAGTGCTGGCAGACAACAAGCTAGTGATCAAGCAAGAATACATGAAAATCTTCCTCAAGCTGATGAAGGAAGTAGGTCCTCAACAGGTGCTATGTTTACTCCTGGAACATCTCAAACATAAGCATTCCAGAGTGAGAGAGGAGGTGGTGAACATTTGCATCTGTTCCCTCCTGACCTATCCCAGTGAAGATTTTGACTTGCCCAAAATGTCTTTTGATCTCGCCCCAGCTCTTGTAGATAGTAAACGCAGGGTACGCCAAGCAGCTTTAGAAGCCTTTGCTGTGCTGGCATCATCAATGGGCTCAGGTAAAACCAGTATCCTTTTCAAAGCTGTAGATACTGTTGAACTACAAGATAATGGAGATGGAGTGATGAATGCTGTTCAGGCTAGATTGGCCAGGAAAACCCTTCCAAGACTGACAGACCAGGGATTTGTGGAATATGCAGTACTCATGCCATCTTCTGCCCAGTGCAGGTCAAGCCATTTAGCACACGGAGCAGATACAGACTGGCTGTTGGCTGGCAACAGAACACAGAGTGCACACTGTCACTGTGGCGAACACACGAGGGATAGTATGCAAGTTTACGGATCTTACAGTCCAACTGTTTGTACCCGAAGGGTATTAAGTGCTGGAAAAGGAAAAAATAAATTACCATGGGAAAATGAGCAGACTGAGGTGGAGGGAGAAAACCAGACTTCCAATGCCAAAGATACAGAGCAGGTATGCATTTCTCCAATATTCTTGAATTGAGATTATGAAACAATTTAAAATAAAAATGTTTATATAGAGCCTGTAGTCACTTAAGCAGTGGTATCCAAGGTGGTTTTGTGTATTTAAATCTATTTGAATGGTGGTGTGGGTATTGTAATGGTTCAGGTCAGACTAATACCAGTTATTGTGAGATTTGATTCATGGTGACCCCATGTGTATCAGAGTAGAACTGTATTCCATTGGGGGTGTTAATGGCTTTAGTCTTTTGGAAGGAACCCTCATTGTTGGTTGAAACCCACCTGCCACACCGCTATCTGCTACTGTAAAGATTTACAGCCTCAGAAACCCTATATATGATCACTGTGAGTTTGAATTAACTTAATGGCATTGGGTTTCGGTGGTTTTGGTTTATCTTTTGGAAGTAAATTGCCAGGCCTTTCTTCCAGGTTTCTGTGGGTGGAGTACAGCAAACTGGTTTGTTAGCCAAATGCTTAACTGCATTATCCAGGGATTCTTCCTGTTTAAAATCTGATAACGCTTTGAGTCCGGTGGGTTTGGTTAAATTTGAGGTACAACTGTGTTATAGACAACTTTAGTTTTGACTTGTCACTTTGGGTCTGCCATTTATTCCTACAACGAACCCTGAACACTAAGTAGGGGCCAGGTACTAACTTAAATTCTGGTTTCACACAGTTTAGAACAGCGTTTCCAAAGTGGATGAAATCAACCTTGAAGGGGCATTGGAACGATCCGGGGGCACTGCAAAAGCCTATGCTACACCTCATCCTGGATCGTGGGTTATATACTACAAAAGGTTTTCATTTCCAGGAGAGTGCTGAATGTTTTTTTTCCCCCTGAGAAGGGGTAGTATGTCAAATACGTTTAAAGGAAGAGACAGGCAGCTAAAGGCCCTGAGGGATATTGAAGCTACTCAGATTCACTGCCAACGAGTCGATTTCCACTCGGTGAACTGAAAAGAGTGGGTAGAACTTATAAGACCTGTGGGTTTCCAAGACTGTAACTCTACGGGAGTAAAAAGTTCCATCTTTTTTCCAGAGGAGCAGCTGGTGATTTTGAACTGCTGCCCTTTGGGATAGTATAACCTACGATACAACCAGAACAACTAAAGCATCAAGAGCCCTCTAGAGAAGGTGTGATATTTGAACTGAGGTTCGTCCCCCTCCCAACCAAAGTTTCTATTTTGAAAGTTCCAAATCTACAGATGAGTTAAAAGAACAATACAATGAATATGCATATACTTCACTTATAATCGCTTGTCAACAATTTGCCCTATATGCTGAATTGTTTAAAAATAGGTTGCAGGTGTCTTGACATTTCACTCTAAATATTTCTGTATGCTAATCCAAAGAATAAGAACATTATCTTTTATCACCACAATAATATTATCACACCACAGAATATCAACGGTAATTCAATAATATCTAAAACATAGTCTGCATTTAAATTTCTCCAATATCCCCCAAGTGCATTTTCTCTCAGGAGCCATTAAAAGTTCATGTAATTAATGCATTTTTTTTAATATAGAAAATGTCTTCACCTATTTGTTTGCTTGCTTGTTTATTTTTTCATGACATTGACTTCTTGAAGACTCTGGGTGTTTGTGTTGTAGGATATCCTATGGTATCATTGTTTCTGATCATTTCCTTATGGGTAGATTCAAGATAACATTTGGCAAGAATATTACATGGGGGATTTTGTGAACTTCACTTTATACCATGTCACAGGTTGGGCCTCTATTGGTGGCACTAAATTTCATCCATCTGTTAAGGTGGTAATAGCTATCCCTCTTAATTATAAAAGTTTTTTGTTGTTAATTTCCCATTAATTTTTCTCTTAACAATTCTTCTGATTATAGAATATTATACATGAAAACTGGACAATATAACAAAGTACAAAAACAAATTTTTAAATTCCAACATTCTCATTACTGAGAGTGGTTCATTATTAATAATTTGTACCTCCAGAATCATTTCTGTTTATATATACAGGTACAGATTTTTTTTTTACTATATAAAAGTCTCTCCTCATTTACTTTGATATACTTCTTTTTTTGTTTTTTTTCAATACACTTCTATAGTAGGCTTTTTACTGAATATTTACTGGTGGTGGTCATAGTTGCTTTCAAGTCCACCTGGACTCAAGGTGGCCTCGTCTATGCAGAGTAGAACTGCTCCGTAAGTTTTCAAGGCTTTGACCTTCAGAAGGAGATCTCTAGGACTGTCTTCCAAGTTACCTTAATATTTGATTATGCCCAGGGACTTAAATTTTAGGTTTCATAATCTCATGGTCTGTTAACCAGTTTTTAAAATTTTGAGTTATTTCTATTTTTTATGTTTCTACCTTTTTTAAATGAATCATTTTATTGAGGGCTCAGATAGCTCTTATCACAATACATACATACGTGTGTCAAGCACATTTGCACATATGCTGCCATCAGCATTTTCTTTCTACTAAAGCCCTTGATAGCTCCTCATTTTCACCCTCCCTCTCCTGCCTGTCCTCCTTTATGAACTCTTGATGAGTTATGGATTATGTTCCTATCTTACATTGTCCTCTGTCACCCTTCATTCACTTTTCCATTGTTCATCCCCCTGGGAAGAGGTTATATATTGATCCTTGTGATAGATTCCCTCTTTCTCCCCCCACCTTCCCCTAATCCTCCTGGTATCTCTACTTTAGGTGCTGAGGGGTATGTCTTTTCTGTATTCCCTATGTTGATGGTGGGACAAAAGGAAAGTAAAAGGAAATAGAGAAAAGAACCAGGAGGCAAAGGACATTTATAGAGGTCTAAATACAGGCATGTACGTATGTAAATATATTTATATGTAACGAATATTTATGTGTTAAGAATTAAGGTTGCAGATGGACATTGGGCCTCGACTCAAGTACTCCCTCAACACAAGAACACTTTGTTCTAATAATCTGGCATTCTGTAATGCTCATCTTCCCAACACGATCACCCAAAGTGGGTGCATAAGCAAATGTGGTGAAGAAAGCTGATATAACGTCTGGGGTCTTAAAGACTTGAAGATAGATAAGCAGCCATCTAGCAGGGAAGCAACAAAGCCCACCTGGAAGAAGCACACCAGCCTGTGTGATCATGAGGGATCAGGTATCAGACATCTAAGACCCAGAACAAAATCATACCCAATGTGAATTTGGGCGGGGGCATCATGGAGTGGAGACCCAAAGCCCATCTGTAGACAATTCAACATCCCCTCACAGAAGGGTGACAAGGAAGAGATGAGCCAGTCAGGGTGCAGTATAGCACCAATGAAACACATAACTTTCCTCTAGCTCTTTGGTGCTTCCTTCACCCCACTATCATGACCTCAGTTTTACCTTACAAATCGTATTAGACCAGAACATGTACACTGCTAAGGATGTTTCTACTTCTTAATGAACTATTTTTGTGTTCTGATATAGATATAATTGCCAGTGATAGTCTACCTTGTATCACTTTCTATCTATTTTTTAAAGTTTTGCCAATTTTTTTTGTTTTTAGCTGTTCTAGTAACATTAATCACACTCACAAGGTTGTGTATCATTGTTTCCAAAATATTTTCATCACCCCAAAATAGAAACTCTGTATCATTGAGTAATAACTCCATTCTTCCCTTTCTGAGCCCATAGTAATCTCTAATCTGCTTTCTATTTTTATGCATTTCTCTATTCTAGATATTTCTTATAAATGGGATCGTGCAATATTGTTACTAGATGCTATTGATCAATTACAACTCATAGCAACCCTATATACAACAGAACAAAACACTGCCCGATCCTGCAGCATCCTCACATTGTTATGTTTGAATCCATTGTTGTGGCTACTATGTCAGTTTCTCTCAATGAGGCTCTTTTTCTTTTTTGTTGCCTCTCCACTTTACCAAACATAATGTCTTTGTTCACTACATGGCTTCGTTCACTTAGTATAATGCTTTCAAGGTTACAACAAACCACACTTACAACCATCTGATTTGTTTTTTGGTAGATTTTTAATATATATACTACATACAAGGTTGCAGCATACAACATCTAAGAAGTTACTATGCTCAGATGTTCATTCACAAATGTTCAATATTGTGATTTATAAAAATACTGATAATAAAGGGCAATAGTAGTGGAAACATGTTTTAAATGCCATATTCAATTTATATTAGAATCTCTGTACAAGGGGATATCCACCACCCCCCCAAAAAAAAAAAAAAAAGGAAAAATGCTCCACTGGGCAGAGCGTTCGTAGTATGCATTTTTTCCGCTAGAAAGTATTGAGTAACCCGCATTGAGTTGGTGCACTCAGTGGCATCTCCTGGGAAGATTCATTTTGGTCACAGTAAATTTTTTTGTAAAAGCAGTTTTGCACGAACCATTTGTTTTTTGTGGTGGCCAATTTCAGAGAAGAGCGTGCAGCTGTGAAATTTTGTTTCCTACTTGGGAAAAATTCTGCAAAAACTCTTGTGATGTTGAGTACAACTTACAAGGACAGCACTATGGGGAAAAACTCAAGTGTATTAGTGCTTTTGTTGATTCATAAAAGGTGAAATATCAATTGAAGACAAACCTTGTTTGTCCGTCAACTTCCCAAACGGACAAAAATTCGACTCATAGTGCATTTGAAGTTTGTTCCACCAGGTCACACTGTTAATCATGCTTTCTATTTAGAGGTTCTGAAAAAATTGTATACTAGTGTGCGACAAAAAAAGCCTGATTTGTGGCAGACTAGGGATTGGTTTTGCCATGATGACAATGCACCTGCTCACGCAGCCATCTCAGTGCACCAGTTTTTGGCAAAAAACAGCATGCCTCGCTTGGCCTACGCCTTACTCACCTGACCTCGCTCTATGTGACTTGTTTCCACAAATGCAGAGGGACATGAAAGGACAGTGATTTGACAACATAGAGGAGTTGAGTAAAAAACAGGGAGGTGCTGTCAGCCTTCCAAACAAATGAGTTTAAAAAATGTTTTCAAGAATGGAACAATAGATTTGACA